TTAAATCTCAGTGCAGTTTGGGTGCACCACACGGCTTTTTGGACCGTTGCTGTGGGGGAATTGCTTGATGTTAGATCTTTGGTTTCAAGTGTTCCAAGATCAGCGACATCAGATGAGCTGGCCCATTTATGCTAGGCTGGACTTGCCCAGTTTAAGGTTGGGCGGTCTGGTGGAGGTTTAGTGAAGAAAGACTTCCTTTTTCGAATTTGGTCTTGCACGAAATTCGCTTGAAGTCGTTCCGTCATCACTGCCTTCAATCCATTACAGGGAATTTTACTCTATGAATTGCAATGTTTACCCCTGCTCGGCCTCTCTTAGGCAAGGGACAGGTCGTTTTACGAGTGACGTATCCATAGCTCTGTGGTTTAAGCCCCATTAAAACAGGTTCTCTGCCTAGGTGAACCTCGACCCTGAAAATTCAATGAGTAGTCTTCAGCCCACTAGGACCAGCTGCTAATGGGTATTATAATGGGTATAGATTCTATGACAGCGCTACCACGGGGTCTGTGAGACAGTACATTCGGTTGTGGGTCATCCACCCCTTGTGTTCATGTTGTGTCCTTGGAAGAAAAGCATTTTCATGAAAGTGATCCAGCTAATGGCTTTTATCACCAAAAGTCAGTGGGGATGTGCATTACTATCGATCACCCATCAATACACCCGATCAGCCTCAATTCCCGTGCTCAGCAAGGAGTCAAAGGTCATTCATACCAACCGCGAAATTCGAAAAAATGAAGCGTTGGTTGGCCTTTGCGGGATCCGATCTTACTCTAATCTTGGTCCCTTCCCGTTTAGCCACGGCTATTCACCATTGGAGAAATCATCGTCATCAAGTCACTCTTTTATCTCAAAGTGCTGCATAGTTGAGTTCGCTTTCTCGGTTGGTGCGCGCCATGCATCGCTCAATCTTTTGGGAAGATGAAGTGATTGAATGAATGAAGAATCGTTATTCGAAGGGTTGGTGTGTATCTAACCCATTGACCCAGTAACCAGTGACACTCACTCAACATATTAAGGACAATGTCCTGGAACACCATCCCGAATAAAACCGGAACGTTCGCCATCGCTCATGCAAACACCCAAAATATCAACAGAGGGCGGAGTCAGTATCGTGACGAGTTATCGGCGATCGTTGGACTGTTTCACGACGATCTCAGCCGATCTCTCGACGTCATAAATCGTAAATCTCTGTCGTTGCTATAACCGCAATCATTCTCAAAGGACGATATTTCTTCGTTGAGAATGCGCCGTGTACAAAGGATTTTAGCAAGCACAAGCAAATGCGATCGTTACTTGCATGCATGAAATTGGAGAATCTTGCTGGAGTGCGCCATGCGTCCGATCCGGCTGAAATTTCCTAAAAATTCGATGCAAAATACATTCAATACCAGTCTGATTCAGATTACTGTAATGGGTTGTCTTCTAAAGGTTGGCATGAGGGTGGTACGGTGAAAATAGCTTTGTAGTCCGTCAGTGCCAAAAAAGCTAAAGAGAACTGCAGAACGAACGCGCAAAGGTAGTGGTTGAAAGGTAGAACAAACAATCAATTCCGGTCATTGGCTCGTCTAAGCCCTTATAGTTTTCAGGGATTCAGAGGAGTCAAAAATGCCGAAACTTAGTGATTCCCGTACCAGAACTGTGTCCAACTCACTCTGTCTTTTCAACGGAATCAGTTGTTTGATCACAGACTGATCTGGTTTAGTACAAACGTATTCGTGCGCTTTGGCAGGCCTTGGCTTTGAATGCACACAGGAATGATAGTCTTCCAGACGCTTCTATGAATTTGGATGATGAACGAAAGCATGGCTCATCAAATGGGTCTGTCTCTGAGCACCCATTTTTCCCTTCTCAGCGGTTCAAGCGATGAGCGACTGATGGGAATTGGTGAATAAGGTAAGAAGCTCTAAAGGGATATATTCCTCATCTAACAATAAGATTTCGAGTTGTTCGGGAAAAGGCAAATGTCTGTGGGAATCAACTCGGAGTTAAAAATTAAGCTGTGTCATGTACAATTATTTATAAACGAGCCAATACGTTGATGAGCAAATATCGATTCATCGATTGGGCAGATTGATGATTAGACTTGGAAATGATACGGAAATTGATAAAAGATGATGATTTACGTAAGGAGTGTTTTCATTGGCTTTGTCGGCGACGACTATGTGAAGATGGGCGGGGCGTCTCTGGATCCCAACGGCTGTAGTGAGAGTTTCGTACGCGACAAATCCCATTCGTACGTTGGGCTGACGATTCCGACGATTTTTTGCTTCTGAAGGATTCTTTACTCCATTATTGAGGAGGTATTCCATGTGACAGTGCTGCGGTGGCAAGTGGCGTACTATCAAGCATGGTCACAACTTCAAATCTGGGGTCGAACTCCGTCTAAGCTGACCAAGACCTCCATTCCTCAGAGGCTATGGTACTAAACTGGTCTGGGAGGATAAAAGCACTGACTTGTACAACGGCTGCCCACCGCAACTTATTGTAAAGGTAATTGGCGCATTCAATAAGCGATCTCGATTCTCAATCGATGTCTGTCTCCTAAACCCGGCTTTTTTCTGCAGTACAAGACCACTATTTCCCCCTTTTTATTCAAAAGGAACGAGCTTGATTGAAAAGGAGAAGTCTGCTGCGTTACTGTCGATTCGAATCTTGGTTGTTTGTACAAATTGGACCATCCAGCTAACCAGCGAAGACGCTTTAAGGCTTGCTAGAGCTTGTGTGATGTGATTGCCTTCAATGGTCGTGGTTAAAACAGTGCCCAGAAGTAACTGAGGGACGAGATTGAGTCCCGGCACTGAGGAGCTGTTTACCTTTTATGGTAATAACACATCAAAAAAGGCGATGGAGACTATTTTAGAAAAAAATTTATGTGAAGAGAATCTCATTCAGAAAACTTTATCACAAAAATCTAAAAATCCTTGGCACGCACCTGGGAAGAAATCTTTCTTATTTGGGACTTTTATATTTCCTTCACTCCTTTTGAGCAGTTTTTCATGATGGACGTTCAAGCTATGCACACTTCTAAGTGTATAAAATAAAAAAGTAAACAACTCTCTTCGACTAGGATTGACTGATTTAGTTCATATAAGAATGTCAGTACATATTGAAATCTACCGTAATGTAATCTACCGTAGCCACGACTATGCAGGATTTGATTCAGATCTTCCCCATCCGTTCTTTGAGAATTTTTTCCCGAAGTTGTTTGAGGTAGAGACTGGTTGGTGACAAAGGTGGAGGAGATGACCTGGTGGTTTGTTCGGCCCTGAAATCGGATAAAATCAGATCTAGGCAGAACGCTTGCTGCAAACACCCACCTTTCATCCTTCTCAACCGGCTGCTTTCCTGGCGGCACTGTAGGGTGGTTAACCTTCAGGACGGTTTCCCTCGATGAAGAGGTACTGCTTGCGCTCGTCGACGTTTCTTCAGCAGATGTCGAAGCTGATTCTTCTGACTCGTCTTCGGATTCTTCTGATTCTTCACTGCTCTCCGAATCAGAATTCGTTTGAGATGTAGTAGAAGATTTCGACGGCGAAGTTACTTTTTCGGACTGTGTCGCTATCTCACGGGTTGATTTGGTGGATGCCTTTGACGGCGGGGCTTTCGGTTTTGTAGGAGGCCCCAAATCGTCTTTAGCCATCCGGCACTTGAGTATAAATGCCTTTTTGCGGGCGATCTCTTGTTTCACGAAATTTGCATCAAAATGTTCCACCAGTGCTGTTCGTTCGCCGATCATTCGGTCGAGAACTCGAAGTTTTTGAAGGCGAGGTATCAGATTCTTGCCCAATGCCCCGTTGAGAGGCTTTTCTGCCTTCTTCACTCCCTCAGAACTAGGCCGCACCGGCCGCACTGGTTCCGTGGCTGATGGCCCAGGTTGAACTGATGGTTCCGGGTGCTTCAAATACTGAGAAACAACGTTTGCTACCGTATCTTCGAGCTCGGTTGCAGTAAGTAAATGAAGCTCCGTGTTCGACGCAGTTGTAGAGCAACGTCGACGAACCTAAAGCAGAGCCAATGAAATCATAAATTTATTGGCACCCAATGTTTGGAGTGCGCCATGACTATTTTTGGATACGGGTTCGCGAAGGCGATCGAATGGCTTCTGAGGTGTGAGTTTCAGTCTTGGAAAGATCTAGAAGGGTAACTCAGTGCTGTTGCACAAGGTAGTTTTAGAAAGACGGAATACTTGGGTGACGTTGATGAGAATCGGTCCTCTAACAGTTCAAATGAAAAGAGCAACTTCTGTTGCGCTCTCGCACTTCTAACTTATCCCAAAGTTGTGATTACTCGACAATACTCTATGCTCCTATAAAGAATGACAAAAGAGAGAAAGACGGAAAGCAAAAGTTCGAGTACAGTCCGAGGCCAAAGTTTTGTTATAAATCGCCGCCGATAAAGTGAAATGCAAAAGAATCAATGGAGGGGTTCGCTGGGCTTTTGTCGGATCAAGTGTTGAATGAACTGCTAGACGATGGAATTAGATAAAGGGAGTGCCCAGCCTGAGTGTTTGGGGACAGACCCATTTAGGCAAACATGTCACATTGCCCGTGGGACATTTGCGCTTCTCTACTTCTAAACCCGAACGGAAGTACCGCGTTGAAAAGAAATTGTGCCAAACCCTCGTCTAGTGAACTCAACATCAGCAATTTTGAAAAGACTTATGTGACTTCATCAATACTAGTTTGCTCGAAACTTAAATTCTTTCATTAGCCGGCATTACTCATTTCGATTTAAGAATATCGAGGGAGTAGTGAAGAAGACAAGGAACATCCGGCTCCGCGCTCACCTTTTCGACACTGCTGTCCTTCCTGCTTTGACGTACGCCTCGGAGACCTGGACTCTACGAAAGCGGGATGAGCATGCTGTCAGCGTTACTCAATGCGCTTTGGAAAGGACGATGCTCGGAATTTCCCTACATACGCAAGTGCAGAAGGGAATCCGGAGTTCCGAGCTCCGTCACCGAACGAAGATCAGGGATGCCGTTGATTACGCCAAGAAATCGAAGATCAGGTGGGCCGGACACGTTATGCGATATAGTGATGACCGTTGGACCAGGGCGGTTACTGACTGGATCCCTCGGGACATCAAACGAACTCCAGGAAGGCCGCCAACGAGATGGTCAGACATCTTCACGAAAGCTCTGAACGAAAGGAATGTTGAACCTCGTGTCCCTTGAGCGAGAACGATTTACTGAACCACTCTGGCTCGTGACAGGGACGAATGGAGACGTTACTGGTGCCCGCTCGAGGAAGTCGATGATCAACGGGACGACAGGTAATACAGGTGATTACTCATTTCATTTGAATCTTTCTCAATACATCTGAGGGCGAAGTGAAGAGTACTAGGCTGCTCACCTGCACTTGAACAGTTCGAGTTTCGATGCGTTCGGTCTGGGTCTCGGATTGTGTTCTTATGATTTCATATTCCTGTGTGGGTGAATGGTAATACTTCGTGATTTTTACGGCCAACGTTATAGCAAGCACTTGAGCACCATGTGAAGTCGAGTAGAGGACTGACATCCCTCGCGACGATAGAACATCCTGAAAAAGCCATTCTACGAGCATAGATTGTCGTAATAATCTAAGCATTATTACTGGCACAGATGGGTATTGCTAAATGGTGCGTTAGCCCACATATACAAAGCACTCGCATTTAGCCATCACGAAATTCAGTGTGTCCCGAGAAGCAGAGGTCGGATGCTTCTTCGGGCGATACCGACTTTCGTGATGGTCAGGAATAAGTGGTGCAATCAGCAAAGCTGCCTGGTTTGGTTTGAGGACAGCCCAGACACAAGAAGAAATGGGCAGAAGTGTGGAAAAAGTCGACAAACGAAATGAAAAAGACACACCTTCGATGGGCGGAGCGTCCTCTGAGTGGGCTGTACCTTTCGCATAAATTCATGGTTCGATTCCACTACAGACAATAAGTCGGACATTTGCAGGGTGGAGTTTGCATCGAATTATCATAACTCTCTTTACAGCGTTCTTTGTTGTGATGCATGCATTAGGNACAGTTTGTAATATTGAGAAATCGACTTTGGCATTAATCCGTCCCGTTTTTGGGATGCGCCCCGCATTCGACGTCTAGCCGGGATCATAGTGGCGCTACGAATGCTCATGTGACCCACACAATGACTTGCAGTGCCTAGACGATGTGCCGCTCAGTGCTTTTTTTATCCTCCCAGACGAGTCTGGAACTAATTAGCCGACCCCGGAGGGATGGAAGGATGGATTGGCTTGGGCGGATGAGGATGAGGGATTTGAACCCTTGACAATGCGTGTGGAATAGCGCGCCGTTTGCCACTACACCACCTTCGCCCTTATAGTATCATATAAATAATAAAATAGTTCATAGTAATATCAACTCGATTTACCATTTGAGGAAGTTTCGAAAGTTGAAGTTGAGCCGAAAACGACGATCCATTAGAAAGACTGATGTCGATAGTGAACAGTTGAGAGTTTTTGAACGACGTCAGTATAGTGGTGAAAGTGAAGCCGACTGGTAAATCTAAATCAGATACTGTAGTAAAAATGTGCATGGCTCAGTGGGAAAAGGCGCTGTGCGAGATTGTGACTGCATCGCTAGGTCGACCACACCAACCAGAAGGGTCACAGCTACAAAAGTTTCAAACTGACCACTCGTTTCAACCTCGCCGACGCTACACCAGTCATGGCCTTGGAATCGAAGACGAAGTTCGAAGTAGGGTTGAACAACTTGATGGATTTTCTCCAATACAAACGAGATCGTATAGACGTTTGATGTCATCTACAGCTGACAACATGGAAGGCATTTGATTCAGGCGGTGGAGCGAAACGTCATTGAAAAGCCTAAAATAGCTGAAATTGATCGACACGAGGAAATTGCCGTTTGAGGCCACTCTGTCCTCCTAGTCCTCAGCCTAGGAAAAGCATTGCTGAACGAGAAAGAAAAAGTTGAGAAGGGTAAGCTTTGCCGTTAATCAGTCCCATTTTTGAGATGGGCCTTGGAATCAACTTCTACTCAGAATCGTAGCATCGATTTTAATGCGTATGAGTCCTTTACAATGACGCGGTTGCCAGCCAATGTACAATTGAGTGCTTTATCCTCCTAGACGGGTCTGGGTCAATTCAGTGACCACCACGGGATGGAAGACCTGGTTGAGCACTACCCCGTATCCAGAAACACATTTTGCGTAGAGATATCGAATTATATCAATAGAATAAAAACAATAGAACAAATAGAATAAACGAACTGTGTTATAGATGCAATAAGTGGAGAAGGCAAAACAACTGAAGACTTTATAGGCTTGTGCATAGTCAAATGTCTCCCACATGGGAACAGATTATGGCTTTCAGAAATGGGATGAGTGATGTTGAGATGTTTTGTTTGCTTGTTTGTTTTTCATAGAACGGACCTGGTGGTTCTGTATCTCTCGTGACGGTTACCAAGTTATCTCTGAACATTTTTTCTTTTTTTTCTCTTTGAGGGATAGCTGGAGTTATAGTGAGTGGCGCCACATCAAAAGTATATGGTGTACAGATTTAGGTAGGGCACAAGACCATTGTGTCTTACTTATCTCTGGGTTGTTCCCTTGCTACCAAATTCGTCTGGTAGAATGGAAATTTTTGATTGGTGGGACGTTTTAACATACATAGTACTGTGCAGACCCAACAAATGCTGTGATGATTCTAAATGATAGTTACGTGCATGGCGCATCCCAAAAGGAGATACAGATTGAGTGCCCTATCCTGATCCCTCACTTAATAATGAAATAGAAAGCAGGATTTTAAGCCGATCACTCTACAGGTCTGCTTAATTCTAGGGTTCCTAAGCAACAAACTTTCGAAGTACTTTCAGGCGAAGATTTGCGTACTCATAGGTGTACTCAAAATCGACAATTTATTAATTTTTATATAAATTCCTAGTGAATGGCTTATTTTGATCGACTGCGCTTAACATAGATGATCAAGTACCAAACGAGGACTTAACGGAGAGGGGGATGAGTCATTTTTAATCTTGGCAATGAAATAAACAAATAAAAATCAAAAAGATCCATTGAAAAATACATCATTGAGTTAAGGAAATCAAAGCGAGGACGACTCGAGTAGAATGGGAAAAGCTTTTGGGCGATGGACTTGTGCCATCTAACAAACAATGAGGAGTGACCAACGGGTTGCCCGGGTAACCAGTGCCAGCTCAGCCATGCCACGCAATCACTCATTTGGCATGGGATCGTTTTGGGTAAGGACGACATGTACGGCTCATTTCTTTCAACAAAGCCTTGCTGAGATTTGGTCAGATAAAAAGAAACGGTGAAAAGGAAAACTCTAGGGGTTTACTATTCCCTTAAGGATGAACGGAATCGCTTCATTTTCGATGGAAGTACCATTTTCTCGAACGAATTCCAGTTCAAGATCGGATCTTGGACCATGTGGGTGATAGCAACGTCGGCTATTCGAGCCCATATGGCTATAAATTTGATTTAAATAGATTAAAAGTCCATTTATTTTATCGCTTTTTCTCCATATCGAAGCTTTATGATATATGACTCCAAAAGATTCTCTTCTATGCAAGACTCAGAAGAATTCAGTCAAATACATCGAGAATGGTCAATACTGTAAAGAGAACTCCAAGTTATTTGCAGTTTGGAAAATGTACCTATAAAGAGCACAAAATAAGCGCAATCCCATAATGGCGGGATTGCTCCATCCCTGCTGTAGTGATCCCATCAAGCTCATTTTCTTTTAGATGGCTATTGGGAACGGCTTCAGAAACTTTCAGAATCGGCTTTTTCTGATCAGTTAAATTGAAGCCTTCTCGTTGTTCACGATCAGAGTATGAAGGGCTTGAAGGGGGGAGTGATGAGGGTTTCTCAGCTCTCTTTGGTAGGCATTAGTCTTTGGTTCAGCTCAAGTCTTTGAAAGTGTCTGCCAGTACTGAGAAACTGTTTACTGTTGGACTTGACTGTTTACAATTGGAGCTCAGCATTTAAATTAGTAGAGGTTAAAACACCAAAACGTCCATTTTCAATAGGTACTTATATTGCCTATTACCGAGGAATTAAAGTAGACTGGAAGGTGGTGAAGAGGGTGCGGAGCACATTGGTATTGTTGTCTACTCACTGAAATCTGGACTATCCGACCATATCTCCGCAAAATCGTTAGATTTACTGCATCCCCGAGGGAATAGGTAAGACTGTGGAGGGTTAGAAAACGTAAAAGAGGGTGAGAACACTAAAATGGGCAAATTGGCAAGGATAGCACGTAAAGCGTCGTACTGTGGCGTGGGAGACGGCGTCGCACTGTGCTTTATCTAGACCTCCATATTACTGGTCTTGCTGGTTTAGTAGTACAAAACTTGCTTGGGGTGAAGATACCCGGGCTGGTTAAGAAAATGGTTCAACACGGTTTTCTTGGAAGAAAAGGGTTGGGTAGGTCGAATAAGGCTTGTACTCCATTTCTATACATGACTAGGATTGTAGGTTACTTTTTTGGAGAGTTTTTCTGCTGATTAATCGTGAACGTCGGGGCTTCCCACTTTGGGTGTTCATTTGATCGTGGTGATTTCGTGATCAGTCGATCATCTAGATCTCTTATCGATATCGATAAGTTTGCGCTGCCTGCCGTTAATGGATGGTTGCCCCTCTCCTAACTTGCTGGTCGACTCTCCTCTAATTTGTCTCTTCCACTCAAAGCAAAATCAACTTGCTTGAGTAGTATATCGTCAAGGCTATGTAATGTGTACGGTTTACTTCATAATTTGTTCGATTTTTTTTCCAAGTTGTGAAATAAGAGGGAAAAACTTCTTTTCGAAAAAAAAGGAACGGGCAGAATATATCGATTTCGTTGGCATGGCTCTGTAACATTTCGCCAAGCATCCTGAAATTTCGTTGGTGATGGTCTTTCACAACTTGTTAGCCTACCACCTGATCAGGGGCATTCCATGGACCGTCACAAAGTGCTCAGTAAAGCTCCCGGACAGGAAAGTGGTGAGCGTTCGAAAAGTTCCTATATTGTTTGATTGAAATGTATCGTGTACAATCGATGTATATCCATCTGGGAGTTCTGAGGAATGGGTGCAGAGAATGGTAGGAGCTTGTGGGAGATGGGGCAATCTAATCGGAAGCGACCCATACCAATTGAAAATAAAATGTTTTAACTAAAGATTGCCATACCCATTAACCTAATGTTATTTTTTAAAGTTAATTGGCGTAGGTGTAACTAGAACTTTTGTGAAACAGGATAAAGTCTCCGGTGTTCATCAATCCTTCTTGGGATGCAGCCACGCCCTCAACTCCCCTTCGGAGTCGTAGTGGCGTATTGAATGCGCATATGGCGTATGGAGCGGCTAGCCGATATACAAATCAGTGCTTCTATCTTCCCAGACGAGTGTGGCACCAATTCATTGACCTCAGAGATATGGAAGGGTTTGTTGGTCTGGGCGGATATCGATCCGGGATTTGAACTTGAGAGAATGCGTGTGTGATAGGGGGCTACTTGCCACTACACCACCCAATAGGTGGGGTGTAATTGGGTACCCGACAATACAGAAACTTCTAGCATTTGTTCAAAAATCGTTTGATAGGAAATAAAGAATTTTTGTAAAGTTTTATGATTTTCATTGATCATTTCTAGCTCAGTCTGATGGAGAGGATGCTCACAAGGAATGGACCACTCGTCTCCGATGCCCTTTCGCGTTTAGCGGACCGATTATCTCTGAATGCTCTGACTGAGTATTTAAGAATTCAGTTTGATAAACGACTTGGCTTCGGAGCTGAACTATAGGAGAGATAGCATTTAGCTGCGCAAATCTTTTCGATAATGCTGCCCTTTTTGGCTTAACCCTAGCCCTGGGCTCTACGGAGTTAATACAAGTGCTACGCCGACGTTAATCCACATGTTGTGAAAAGGACGACGCTGGGAGTTCACGGATTCAAGCCAGCCCGGAAAGCGATCTCGTGGTTTGAGTTTCGTCAATGAACGAATGCGAAGAAGGATGATTTCAGACCGAGGCGATTACTGACTGAATCCCTTGGGGCATTTAGGGAACATCAGTGAGGCCGCTGACGTGATAGTCAGACTCTGAGCATCTCAACGACAAGAGTGATTCCCCCGATGCCCTTTGAGCCAGTAGGATTCACTGGATTACGCTGCTTTGCGAAAGGACTTCTGGAGGCGTTATTGGTGCCCGTTTAAGCAAATCGATGATAAAGGGGACCACAATTTTAGGTGATTTTCCGTTTATTTATTTCTTATATGACAATGTGTTTCTAGCTAGTGTATGCTTCCAGGACACTTCATCAGACTGCATTTTGGAATTTTTCAGTGGATAAAATGAGTCCCAGATTGACAAAAGTGCCGCCCACAAGGAGTCAAACTACCCTACAATATCCAGACATCAAGGACGTTAGAAAGATGCTGTTATGGTAGCGCTGATCGTGTCTGCTCTCTCCCAGAAGGGTTTTACTGCGAGGTTGGTGACCTTATAGCTATTAATTATACAAATTCCAGTTCCCTAAAGTGAACTAGGGATGGGTCGCGGTAGCTTTGTTCCACTTCTATATGAAATTTAATCATTAGCTGCTTCGTCCATGTAAGCATCAGATTATGTATTGGGACCGTATTCAGGCATTAAGAAGTGGGAGCTATAAATCGTTCAAGAAGAACTTACTTCCCTTACAGGTGATATCTTATTGCTAGCCGAGAAATGGGGAGGTGCTTGTTTTTCTCGCTTGAGATTCGATCCTGCGAGCAGTGCAAGTGTAATGTATTATAATAGCTGTTTCC